CTGATTTAATGCTTCTTTCCTGAGGAAGAGGAAGGACTGTGTGCTAGCATAATTCGATGAAGAGCCACGCTAGACTCGGAAGTCCTGACATCAGTGAGGCTTCCTCCAGAGAACAAAAGAGGAAAACAGACCTGGGAGAGGAATCTAAATATTGGGTATGTGCAGGGAACTGTGTGGAGAAAACAGGAACTGTTGTGCAGAACTGAGTCGTAGGCTAAAAAAGGAGGCAGAGTCCTGAGCCAAATGACACATGGGACGTGCACTTGAACGTTTACCTTCTAGAAGATGACATTTTTGGGAAGATGACAGGGAACTTATCAAATAAGAGGAGATGTAAATAGCTTGTAACAAACAATACAATATAGAGTTGACCTGCACGTGCAGTTTCTTCTGACCACGATTTCTAATTGACCACAATTTGTTCTGTTTTGCCAGCATAACTAAAGTCATAGTACATATACATACACATACATATACAGTACTTTATTCCAGTAAGGTTTTTTTGGTTGGCTTTTTTGGGGTTTCTTTTGGGTTTTTTGTTTTGGTATAAACAATACCAACATTAGGATTTTTGGGGAGGCTATTTGGAACCACACAGGCAAGCCAAAGGTCTCAGGGACAGAGCCTCTGTTTCTAATTTAACAATTCAGACTAATTCTGCAGCAGGCTGGATTAAATTATTCCAGTTGGCTGGATGCTTCTCATAGGCTGTCTGACAGTCCTGCTCCTAAAAATATCAGAAGTTGGATTTGCAACACTGATCTCTCTGATAAGTAATCCTTTATTATCACTAGAAGTTCCCTGCTCATATAGAATATGCCTGCAGTTAAAGAAATTACAGTAGTAGGAGAAAGTTGGTATTTCAGAATTTCCAGCCTCCTCCTTTGATTCCCATTCTCTCGTATTTTATTTGGTTTTCTTAGTGGCTTTTAGCAGCAGCAAAAGTAAATCTCAGTTCCAAACTGTGTGTATAGCTTGTAATATGTATTGATTTATCTAGATACTATTCTGGCTTTCATTTTATTTTTTATGTAGTGGATGAAATCATTGTGTGTTTATAATCTCTGTCAATGGATCTTCCAAAGATGGACAGAGAAAAAGAAATCTATTTTTTTTAATGTGTTTTGGACTACAGTCTCTTGTTTGAAACTCTCCAGCCACTGAGTTTGTGAAGAGTGCATAATTCCAAATAATTAAACTCCTTCACTTTGTGCCTTTACATTGATAAGTTTACTTATTACAGCACAGTCATAAAGAGGTTGGAGGTCTCCTGCAGCACATTTTTCTGCTTAGGAAAAAAAAATTGGTATGACTTTGCTACATCGTGAAGTTAAAGGGTCCTATTTTCACCAGGAACCTTTTGGACATTGTTACCTTTTATTTTAACCACGTAGACAGTACCTGAACAGCAGCACTCTGGTAAATTCTGCTGAATTTTGTACTACTGCTGTCTGAAAGGGAGATGGTCTTTCTCATTAAATGATATGAACTCTGAAGCATTCAAATCTGTTTTGCATAGAGACATTAGGCAGCAGACACAAATGATTGGTGTCTTAGTTGGGGACTTTGTTTGAGCCAATATTTTCTTTTAGTTATTTTAATACAGTAGGAGGCTTATGCAAAGAGTACGGAATTAAACCCACTCAAGTATGTATCAGAGGGACAAGTAAATGCTTGGTTTATTTATTTAAGCATTTCAAAGCCTGCCTTTTCTTTCCATGTTAGCACTGCCAAACATATCAATGATAATCTGATACAGTTTTAAAGCCCTTACATTCAAACTGTTTAAGCATTAGTTCAGTTATTTTGCCTACTAAAGTGATAATTAGGGGCTGAAAAGGTAACCAGATTATTGTAGAGATCTCTCTTGACAGCCTTTAACACCTAGTTAAATGTTAAAGCCTGGAAATTACAAGCCCCTCAGTATAATTCAGACTACAGTATATTTTGAAGCGATTTGCTATTTCTAGATTGCTTTTCATGCCATGGTAGCACTCCAGTGCTCTCTAGCTTGTTCTGAGTGCCTGCTCACTTGCAGAACACCTTTACTAGGCAAAAAAAGTCTCTAAGAACAAATGTCTTACTTAGTATGGATGTTAGGTGGGATTTCCAGATGTGTAAAGGATGTTGAAGCTGACTCAAGATATATTGGATCTGTTTAAAAGCTTCTGCTTTGTATGCACTTGGATTTAATTTAATCTGTTTGAGCCAATCCAATAGTTTGCCAGTGCTGTGAGGGAGAGGTACTGCTCTCCTCCTCTCTCTGCAAGGTGCTGGCTTTAACATGCACTGCAGGCCTTGCAGAAAATGAGGTGACAGATACAGATAGGAGTGGAGGGAAGGAGGAGCAGGAA